AAATGTCCTTTTCCAACAGCTGAACATCATACTGGATGTTTCAAAGCAATGTGGCTTCAAGAACAGAGCCTCTCTTCCTTGCTGGCTGCTGCTCTGGTATTAGGGTACTGCAACATCTCCAAAATAAATAGGATCAAAATCCTACTAGAGAAACTCACAGTATTCCCTGCCTTTAGAGATAATTTTCTCTGGCGAGCTTTATTTATTTCAAGGTCTGAAGTCTCAAGCTGTTGGGCTCTTTTTGGCTGACAGCTCAGTTTTGGAGGAGTTCCAAGCTAATGCAGGAATACAAGTGGGGTGGCGGTGGTAAAAATGTAACTGACTGCACTAAGGAAAGAAAGGTGTAAACTGCCCAGAGCTTTGAACATAACCTGGAGCCTTGTAGCTGGAGATTACAGCTCCCAGAGCCGAACCTGGGAAACACCTCACAGCACAAATCGAGGCATGGTTTGGTACAGACCAAGGCGTCTGTGCACCACCTGAGTCTTCATCTGAGGGCCGTGCTGTCCAGAGGTTCGGCATGGTATAAATTAGGGTGGCCTTGAGGCTTGCTCTGTCCTGGGTGCTCTAAGCGTGCACCCTCCCCTCCCACACAAGGACGTCTCTAGCAGCTCACAGTCAGGAAGGAGCAATGTCCACTCTTGGGACAATCCCAGAGGTGCTCCACTGGCTTCATGGTTACCTGGATGAATGCAATCTGTGGAGCCCATAGCAGAAAGGTTTTGCCCACTGTGTCAGCATCTGATAATGAGTAGTAAATAATTTCCTAACCAGGACTATTCCAAAGAACATTTATTACTGAGGAGCATATATGTTTTCCCCTTGTTTTACACACTCTTAAACATTAACCTTAATTACTGCTACAACATACGTGCTTCATCATGATAGGTAAAGCCCCCATTACCGATATGCTTACTTTACAGCTCCAAAATGGTCTAATTACACACGAAAAGATTTCACTGCTGAACAGCTGCTTCAAAGTATTTGAAATACAAAGGCTGTGAAGTTTTGCTTGGTGTTAGCAGAAGGTGCCAGACTGACAGCACTATATAGTCCCTGCATGGAACAAGTGGAATAAAGTAGCTGTCATCCTCAGTATCGCTTGCTGTCTTTGTATTGTGCTGGCTTTTATCTGGTGATGTAAAAGCACAAGGATGCTACAAACGTCCCATGGCCAACCTCTGGAAGGAGGCTGTGCATCGTAAGGACTCTCGTGCTGGTTGGCACTGGAGTCCTGCTGACATCGGTGGGAGCTGGGCTAGGTGATAGCCTGACTTCAGCTGGAAGGCGTGCTTGGGTATTGCATGGTTTTTGCTTAAGCTTTTTACTGCGCAAGTAATTATTACTGTTACTCACCTCTCCGGATTCTGATGCTACTGCAAAAAAAACCTGCTGCATGGTGCATTACACCCAAAATCTCCTTGTTTAAATTTGCCAGCTTGGGAGAATGACACAAACTTAGACATTTGGCTAATTCTGAAGGTCATCTGGACTGTTTCAGCTAGCTGTGAGTTGCACTGAGGGAGCACGAGATCACATCAGGGTGTTTATGTTGCTAAGTGTCAATAAACTCTGCCTAGCCCATCTATAACACTGCAGTGTTACACACTGCGCTGCTGCAGCTGCTCAGGTGCTGTGGG